AAAGACAAAATGATGACTTATCTTTTGTAAATGACAGAAAAGGGGGAAAAAGGACGGGTAGCATCTAACTCCAGCCAGCCATGCAAGTTCCACCTGTTTAGGGAACAAAACAGACCACTTAAGATACAGGTTAAACTGTTAGAATCTCGCTGAGAGGAGAGGGAGAACAGAAGAGCCAGTGAAACGCCAACAGTAGCTCACACCTCTAATTTAAAAAAAAAAAAGTAGCAGAAATAGATGCCAGAACATGGAAAGCCAGGAGAGAGGGTCCTGAGAGCTAGGAGTTAGGGGGCTCTCCCCAGCCCAGGCAGCGGAGCCCCCTGTGTCCCACCAAGGGTGGTGGTGAGCGGTGACTCACTGGGCCAGTCTCAGGAGGCCGTGGGTCTTCAATGCTGGAGCACTTGCTTAGAAAACCAACCACAGCTTCAGTTCATTGGTCTGCGATAAGGTGAAACAAACCCGGAGACGGAGAGACGCTCTTTCCTCCCGCGGAGTTTAGAACTCAAGTATTAACTCCACCAGCAAGCGGGCCCGGGAGCTCCCCTCTGCACTCAGAGGCTCTCCATCACAGGGTTGTCAAACCCAAGTTCCTGTGCCCGACACACGGTGAGGCCAAACAAACCAAAATGTCAGAGCTGGGAGCTTGGGGGCAGAGGAGGGTTTATTGCCAGGGCCATGCCAGGGGAACGGGGTGGCTCGTGCTTCAAAGGCCCAAACACACTGATGGGTTTCAGGGAAGATGTTTTTCCCAAGCAAAGTTTGGGGTGACATCTGGAGGGTGTGTAAACCGTCCTCTGGTTGGCTGGTGTTGAGGTAACAAGGTGGTGGTCCGGGAACCTCAATCAGCCTTCTGGTTCCAATCAGTCTGGGGTCCACGTGCTGGTGCTCAGCCTGAAGTTCCCAACCTCCACCTGGGTTGGGGGCCTTGGTTCCTGTAGAAGAACTCAGATCTGTATCATGTTGTTATGCACATCCCCCGAGGAGGGGCCAGGCCCCGGCCCCATCCTGCACTACTGCTTCTGTGTTCCGTCTCTCTCCTCATTAGTAATTGTTTAAATCTGCCCTTGGGAACTCAGGGGACGTCTAAGAGACTGAAAGCTTTTTTCCTACCAAAAGCAAAAGGGGGACACAGAAAGGCTTTTATGCCCAGGAGAGCCCCACAGGGTCCTGGTCAGTTCCAGTGCCCAACAGGAACCCCCCCACCAAGCCACTATCCTCATCTCAGTCACCACACAAAGCCGACCCCCTTTCACCCCTGAGCACCCAGACTCATCCTCCTATGGCTCTGACATTCCCTTCTCTCAGGCTTCCCTAAATCTTCCTCTGTGTCTTCTGGGACTTCAGCTGCCCTCAGCCAACAACCCAGATCCTCTCCCTCTTCTCTGTACAGCTGGGTCCCCCTACTGCTGTCTGATACCTGGTTCTCCCTTGAGGATGTGGCCTCCCCTGAAACCTTCCCACTGGGCCTGGGGGAGGGGGAGGAGTTCTCCACACTTATTTACAGGCCGCTTCCCCCACCCCTCCCTAAAGCCCCCAGCTCCTCTGACTCAGGCCGGAATAAACTACCCAGGGGCTCCGTTCACACAGCCCTCCAACTCGCCCCCTTCATTCCTTGAGTTCAGCCCTGGGCTCGCTGTCTTTCTACACCACTCTTCCCTTCACTCTTAGGTTTCCTTCCAATACTCTGGCTTCTCAGCTGCTTGACCGCCTCTTTTGCAATGACCTTATTTCCTGCCGAACCTCAGCCACCCACTCCCATGGCTGTATTGCTTGTCATTACCAATGAGTTCACCCCTCCCTGCTCCGTGCTTGTAACTGCAAGCCTTCTCCTGTGCTCACCATATCCTACTGCCTATCTTTCCACATCATTCACTCTAATAACCCCACTCCAGGGAGAATTACTGATACCATGAAAGATAAGAGTTCACTACAGATCCTAAGGCATTTTAAAAATAAGGGAGTGTTATAAACAACTCTATGCCAATTTGACCACTCACTTGAAATAGAAAAAAAATTTAAAGAGATACTCTAAAAATGACATAAGAAATAGAAATTAAAATATCAGCATCAAAGAAATGTCACTCCAGTTGACAAAGTCGATCTAAGAAGGAAATGATTTGTACCAAATTTGAAGATTATAACCTGGGAAGAGCATCTCAAAGCTCAGAACTGTTCTGCTATTAGAAATCAAGGCACAGTTAGAAGTCTTTTGAGACAGGGCTGTACATCAAATGATGTATTATTGACAGTTTACATAACCTGAATTTAAGCATCATCCTGGTGTGTCATGTGACCCCTTATAAGATCAAGAAGGAGTGTTATCTTTTGAGGAGCTGTCTTGTTGATGCGAGGAGAATGTTGCTCTTTATGGTTGAGCAGGTATTCCTGCCTGTGGAGGAGTTTTGGTCAATGCATAAAGCAAATACACTATGCACAGTGTAGAGAGGAGGCCAAAGAGCAGAGAAGAATTTTTTTGTTTAAATTTTTCTTGTCTTGCCATAAAGTAGGAATTTTATTTCATAATTTTCCCCTGTTGATCAGATTTCTTCTTCAATAGAAAGCATTAGGTGATCAAATATTTGGTCCCTCAAAGTTAAGATGGA